CTTCATAGGTTGCAAAGGACTTAGAAGGGGGCAGGGAATCTCTGGCTGGCAAAGGCAATACCTGAAACTGGATCCTAGGAGGTCCCAGGTGCGTGCATGCATATGGGAAATTAGCTTAAGGGGAAATATATATGTATACAGAGACATGCATATGCATACACAGAGGAGCTGTTAGGGGGTGAGCCCCTGGGCCAGCAGGGCAGGAGAGGGTGGTGGCGAACTAGTAACTGAAGATGCACTCTGAGAAGTTCAGTAATGAGCATGAGACAGGCTGAAGGGAGAGCCTAGTGGTCCACACAGGTAAGGTAGTGGGCTGTGGGAGACATCTCTCTCTGCCTAAGCGAGCTGAGGTGTTAAGAGGGCAAGCAAAAGCAGTTGCCTGTCGATTCAGTCTCTGCAAGGACAGATGGAAACCAGGTCTCAGCTAAAGCAGTGCTTCTCAACCTGTGGGCTGTATATCAGGTATCCTGCATAACAGATATTTATATAATGATTCTTAACAGTAGCAAACTTAGGAAGTAGCAGCAAAATAAGGAACCATATCAAAGGGTCACAGCATTAGGAAGATTGAGAACCACGGAGCTGATGGACCTGGTTGAAGACTCAGAGCCATGAAAAACATGCAAAGAACTCGGAGAGGCAAAGGCAATGCCTACTACTCGTGGACATCAGTCCCTTTCTGTCTCCAAAACACCCCTTCCTTCTTCCTCGTGGGCACTTTCCTCTAAACTAGATTTTGAGCAATCTGAGCGGGAGGTGGCCAGCACCAGCGCAAAGGGTTAGAGCTGATTGCCTTTGAGCATGGATGTGCGGCGGACAGGACCCCAGAGCCCTCAGGGCAAAAGGTGACCTCTCTCTGTGTCCAATAGGAGTGACACCAACTGACCTCTTACCCACCCACTTCAGAACAGAGCAGCAAATATACCTGAGTGCCAAAAATGTTCCCTCCCTCTCAGCGTTGGACAGATGTTCCTGGGAAGGGGAGACACTCACAGTTGGACACAGGCTTCTTGGGGCTCTGGTTCTCTTGCAGCCTTTGTTCCCAGATGAGTCACTGTTTAGAGGGCAAAGCTAGCCTCACTGCAACCCTTGACACAGCTCCAAGCTTAACCCCCAAGGTCTCATTTTATGGCAAACTGGCACACTTGCCTCTGAAGGTTGGTAGGACCCCCATAGAGGGTCCTGGTAGGAAAGAGACAGCATCTGGCCAGTGGGGCTTGGTCAGAGTGGGAGTTATTCCCGTATGGAGGCTCAGGGTGCTGTTCACTTCCTTTGCCTTGGCTTTCTCATCGTGTATACCCTCTGGCTGCTAGCCACACGCTCCACCTGGATTCAGATGGGCACAGCACACTGACAGCTGGGTAAAGTTGCTCTGCCCTAGTCAAGGTGAAGGTCACAGCTGGAGCTGCCAGAAGCAGGCTGGCCAGCTGTGGGTGTGCCCTTATTTTTCCTCCCACACCCAAGGCAATACAGAGGCTCATTCATCCAGGCAGGGCAGGGCACAGCCATGTGAATGTCACACTCTGTGCCTGCAGAGACGGCAGAGGCTTTTTCCCCTCACAGAGACAACTGTTTGCAGTTAGAGCTTTGCCCTTCCTCTGAATCCCGGGTCAAGAGGGCAGGCTGGGCACACAGCGAGTCCCTGGTCTGTGGTCAACTACTTGGACATGATGGCACTTGGGTTTTTTTTGTTTGTTTGTTTTTCTTTTTGCTGGTTTTGTTTCATAGGGTCTCATGTATCCTAGGCTGGTCTTGAACTTGCTATGTGTTGAGGGCGATGACTTTGATTCTTCTGCCTCTATCTCCTGAGTGCCGGCATGCCTGGTTTACACAATGATTGAACTCATGGTTTCAGGCTTGCTAGGTAAACATACTAACAACTCAGTTACACCTCCTGCCTTGACATTCCCTTTGGAGACAGGTCTGAGGATGCTGCCCAAGCTGGTCTGGAGTTCATGAGCTCAAATGATCCTCCTGCTTCAGCCTCTAGCTTAGTTAAAGCTGTAGGTGCAGACATGGCCTGTGGTTACCACTTTTCTAAATGTTAACCCATTTTGTGTGGTGATGGGGTTACCAAGGCTTTGGAAGATGAGCTGTAGACCACATGGCTAGGATGATAACGTTGCATGTGCACGAGTCTGAGAGGGGCCCAGATGCATGGCTGTGAGCAGTTAGGACTTGACTGGTAGTGCTGGATCTGGGTTTCTCTCTTGGGCCATGGGGGAAGGAAGGGCCTGCCTGGGAGGGAGGCTGAAGCATGGCCTAGTGGAGACAGCCTGTCCTCCAAGATTCAGACTTTTGAGTCAGAGGTGGCCCTGATCCTGTTGCTTGATCAGGAGCAGGTCCGTCACTCTTTCTGAGGCTACGTGTTCCCTGCCAGGGCAGGCGCAGCTAAGTCTGCACGGTCCAGCATAGGTAGGCTTAGCTCTGCTATGCTTTAATCATGGCAGACACACACAGACATTCTCCCTACTTCAAAACTAAACCACACTCCTGTACGCGTCCTTCAGCCTGTCCAGTCGCCCCAGGCAAACCAAGTCTAGCCTTCCAAGGTCTTTATCCAAAAACCTTCTGGAAGGAGTGCCAGTAAGGAGGTGTGGCTATTCACACTACACATGCAGGTAAGCAGGAAAAGAACCAAAACACATAAAATGCTGTCTCTGATACCATAGTCGTCTGCATACTGAAACAGTTCACGGTGGAGAGTATTAGGGAAGAGGAAGGAGAGCAGCGGGCCGGGGAGGGGATGGAAGGTAAGGGTCACAAATACACTCAAAGTGTATGATACACGCATGAAGATGTTGTAATTAAGCCCATAATTTGACAGTGAATACACACTAAAGACAACAATTGTGGTGGTTTTGAATTCCGTTCCCTTCACATCCTAACCACTCCTGGGACTTGTGGACTTTTCAGGTGCCACCGTGGCTACGGCAGCCAGCATGGCTAGTGATGGAGACTGAGATGCTCACACATCACTCCCCAGAGGCACCGCAGGATGAGGAATGGCTGAGGCTTGGAGTCAAGAACATTTACGAGGGGCGTATGCTGCTTCCCAGCCTTTTCTCCAAGAACAGTCCTAACTTTGGGCAGATGCCTGGCTTTAGCCGAGAGCCTCATCCAAGAACATTGTGATCTCAATCCCTACTGGCTGCATTCCAGGACCCTGACACTGAGAACCTCCCAGGTCTCAGTAGGGGAACACCACATAGCTCCAACGCCACGACCTTTCTTAGGTCACCCTGCACGCCTGTGTGGTGTGTCCCACCCTAGGTCTGGAACATTCTTCTTATGACTTCCACATCTGTTGATGGGAATGGCTCCTAACTGAGGAGGCAGCAACAGTGGCTAATGCTTAGTCACGGGATGCAGACAGGGTCTCTGTTGTGTTCAGTGTGGCCCTGGGGTACTCCTGGCCTGGGCCCTTTCCTGTTTGGAGACAGGACAAGAATCCAACCGCACCCGCACGAGTAAAGAGAGAGGAACAAGATCAACAGAGTGTGTGGTACTTTTTATTCAGTCTTTAAGTTGTGCTTCTTATTAAATGTGACCTTCGCCAAGCTCCAGTCTCTCAGTGTGTGCCGTGACCTTTGTGTGCGCACAGCGTGAGTGAGCTCCAGTGCCCTTTTGATTCAAACCCACACCCCGGCCACTTCACTGACTGTAGAGCATCTCAGGCTCTACAGTTCCCACTGGGCAGGCACACAGCCTCCATAAAGGGATGCTGGGAGAGAGCCAATTCAAACGCAGGGAAAAGACATGTTCTTAACTGAAATAAAATTAGTACATGGCCTTGTCTGTGTTCCATGATGCTACAGAAACACATTTAAAAAGTTTTTTTTTAATCTCTTTTAATCAAATAAGCAAATCCAGAAAAGTCAAAATCTAAGGGCCTCCATACTATCAGGGAATATTATAAAAATAATCTGACTTCTGTGACTGGAAAATGCAGGTTATAGGGGCTGCACGGAAGCAATACACCTGAACCGTGGACAGAAGGCAAAGGGCCCTGCTAGGGAGTTCTCTGCATGGAAAACCCACTAGAGGCATTTACACTGGAGAACACATTCCCTTCCTGTCTCTGGGTGGAGACATATGTGGCCAAAGACAAGAAAGACGGCAGTTAAGTGTCATGGGGAGTCAGGCAATGGAGAGCAGACAAGCAATCACAGCATTGGCGTCTGGGAAATACCACTTTCAAATTCCATTTCAGAGGTTTGAGGTCTGAAAGCCAATCATGGACTTAAATGAATTTTTCTTTCTATGCCTGTGGGGCACAGAGGAGTGCTTCAGTTCCTCTAGCACACAAGAGGGTGTTTGGGAGCAACACTTTCAGGCTTTTTAGCTTCTCATGGAAGACACCGGTGGGCAATTACGGAGTGCAGTTTATTACAGAACAAACTGGACGAGAGAGAACCTTCGGTCATTTGAGAATATTTTATGCATGAATCACTTCCCCCTCTACTGATGAAAGCCAACCACAGCCCTCTGGCCCCATGGTTTGCATCCACTATGACCCCCACCTCTCCAGTCACCACAATGCATTCTTCCCACGACAACAGATGCTCGTGAAATACCCCCACACTCACCGACCCTCCTGAGTGCACAGAGCAGTGCTCTACAGCCACCTGTCTGGATCTCTCCTCTGAAAGTCACACCCAAGGATGCTCTCTGCCCCCGTGGCCCTCGCTGACCTCACCTGGTCCTCAGCTGCTCCCAGGCTAGCCATCCACAGTAGGAATGGGCATGAGCCCGGGATCAGGCTTGGGACACAACGAGGGACAGTGAGCAGAAACTGAGCAGTGTTCCTCTGCAGCTAGGAGGGAGCAGGCAGAGGTCAAAGTGTACACACATAAAGCCTCGTCTCCCGTCTCTTTGGTGTCTGAAAAATCCTGTCTAAATGAATACACATAGACAGGGTTCCCTCCCCGTTCTGTCCCAAGAGACACTTGTGGTCCTTCTACTTGGTGGCCTGGGTGATCCAGGGTCCAACTCTGGAATTACACTTGCTTTGATCAATGTTTAATATAATGGCTGATTCCATATAAGCAATCAGAGATTTGATTACAATGAATATATTAGTCTAGACTGATTTTTTTTCCATTCAAATGTTTATATTCCATCTACCCTGAACAATCAGCTGAGGAAACAGGCACCTCCAAAGCCTCCCCAAGAGTAGAAACTGTTGAAACAGCATTGTACACACAGGGCAAGGGAGACAAACAGCCGTCAGGGCAGGGGCCACCTTCACGGGGCTGCTTTCTTCAAGTCTCGAATCTGTTTAATCAGGTAGTTCTTCTCGTCAGCAAACTGCTCGTCATCTGTCCTTTCTTTCTGGAAGCTGCTCAGAAACTCAATGAGTTTGGGCTGATTTTTTAACAGAATCTCCACAATAGGCTGCGTTTTGTGAGGGCTGGCCACGAACACCTAAAACAGAGGGAAACATCTGAGCAATGTCTTTCTGGAATGATTCACACGCCAGTGACAGGAATATGACTCAATAATCCTTGTTGCTGGTTTCCTCCATCACCAGCCTTGCGGCGTCTGCTTCCTCGGCAGGAGGGAGCAGCACAGGTCCCCCAGAAGGCCATGGTCTCCCTGGTCTCTACAGCTCATGATGGAACCGTCTCTAGCACTGCTACCCACAATGCCTCAATCCCTAGAAGGCCAGGGGCCCACACAGGCCAGGAAGAGGCTCCTGAGACTTCTACCCAGTAGGTCCAGAACCATAAGGTGACAAGGCTTTGGCCTCCTGGTTACACAGTATCTTAGGTTCCTCCTAGCCACCAGAACAAAGAAAGCACAAAGGTGATTAGTAAACACTTTAAGACAAGTGATGAAGAAAAGCCACTCAGGTGGGCAAATCGTGGCTATAAATGCCTACATCCTGAAGAGAGCTAACTTCACACTTTAAGAAACTAGGAAAATGAACGTAGTGTTTCTCAAATTCTTCAAAGGAGGAGGAACATTCCTAGCCCATCCTATGAGAACAGCAATGCCTTGACATAAAGCCAGACAAAACAAGGAAGAGAACTCTCAAAGGCCAATATCCCTCATGAATGAAAAGGCAATTAACAGAGTCACACAGAGCAACCAAGTGGAACTTAGTTCCTCGTAAGACATCGAAAGACCAGATGTACTGTGTTCCCCATCCAGATTCATTTACAGCCCAATCCTCAGCATTGACGGTGTCATTTTCTATGGCAACATGAACGTTACAGATTCATCAGGCTCAGATGACGTCATACTGGGTTAAGGGACCCCAATCTCATGACTGGTAAGAAGGAATTTCAGATACAGAGGTGCATGGGCGTAGAGAGGAATGGAGTGATGTGCCCACGGGGAAAGACTGCTGGCAAGCACCAGGAGCTAGGAGAGAGGATGGAAGGATTCTCCTCGAAGCCTTCAAAAAGATTGACTTCACTGACACCTCAGCCTTGGACTCTGGTCTGCAGAAGTGGGAGAGAATATATTCTGCTCTTTAGTACTCTGTCATGCCCTAGGAAGCTGATGTCACACGGTCATCTCAATTTTTTCAGAATTTGACAAAGTTCAATACTTTTCAGATACAGAATGAAGCTGGGTCCTCACCTCACACCCTACACAAAAATTCTTAAAAATGAACAAAGGGCTAAATATCAGAGCTACTGGGACATTTGGAGAAAACTACAGAGGACACAGTCATGACCTTGCCCATCAGATGAACGGCACTGAAGTTAACTCTTCCGTATAAAGGACCCTGTTAGGAGGGAGGGAGAAAGAATCTACAAGTCATAGTAGATCTTACGGATCTCACATCCGAACTATGTAACAACAAGGCATAATCTATTCACGGAGCAAAGGACTTGAGTAGAGCTTCCTCCAAAGAGGAATAAAAGTGACCAGTAATCCACAAGAAAAGAGATAGGGCAGTGCAGGTCACACTGCCGTAGGGTGTACAGGCATTGAAATATAAAACAGAAAACGTGTGCCGAGCACAGGATACACTGCAAACTGGAATGCGCATAGTGTAGCCACCACGGAAAAGTCTGGCATCTACCCGGTCAGCTAAGCAGTGAGTGACCGTGTGACCCAAGCATGCTGTCAACACAGGCAAAAGGAATGTCCAAATAACACCTGTGCTCAGTGCTGACCGCAGGAGCAGTCACCAGCCCAAGTGTTAACAGCCCGAGGACCCACCAACTGAGGAATGATACCACGCCATGGGGTCTGCCATGGACATCACAAGGAACAATGTGTTGAACAAGACACAACATGGATTTGACTCCATGTATACAACTGTACGAACAGGAGAATCCAGAGTGAAGAGCAACCTGGTGGCTTCCAAGTGTAGTGGAGAAAGGAATGGAGAGACTGTCTAGTGCACAGGGCTTCCTTCTGGGGTGCTGGAACACCCTGACATAACCTGTGGGGGGTGACAATTCTAAACACAGTTCTGCCTTTTCAAATGGTCAATACGTGAATTTTTATAGACATGGCTTTTGCTACAATAAACTAAAATTGTTACTTACAGAAAAGGTATTCCAGTCTTGTTTACACTGTCACACAAATGCCTGCTGTTTACACAATACCTGTGCGTACGCTCTGGCCTTTTCTGGTTGACATTTGTTTATAGGAGAGCTGCTAAAGTTCTCACTACAAACAGCCTCGAATTCTGTGGGAACTACAGAAATAACTCACAAAAGCTCTGCTTACAAGGGAGAGAGACCAGCGCACTGGACAAACCAGGCAGGCATGCTGGAGGAACTCTAGAGCCCACACCCTAGACCCAAACCTGCAGAAACAGTCAGGAGCTTGCAAGCTTCAACATTGTCCCTTATATTTCTGCTGATGACTCCCGAGCCCTCTGTTCAGAAGGCAGCTGGTCACTAGACTCTCACACTGCCGCTGTCTAAGGCTTTACTGGTGGGGTGGCAGGACCACCAATTGACGTGTAGGAGACCTCAGAGTGGAAACTCACTGCTGACTGATGGATACTGAATAGCTGTTGTAGCTCCCATCCTACATGCGATTTTCAGAGTCCCGCTAAACCATTGTAAACACATGAAAACTGCCTGTTGTGTTTTGGATTGTTTCACGGCCTGCATCCCTCAGTTTACATGACAGGTCTCAGAAATGTAATTTACGGAGTTTTCAAGCACAGAGGAAAGGCAGTAGCCACATTCAAATATTTAATTCAGGAAACAAAATATTTTATTCTTCATTTTAGATTCAAATGCCTCTTATGAATATTAAACCTTGCATACATCTTCACTGATCTCATCCAATTTTTTTTTTTTTTTTTTATCAGTAAGGATTTGAGCTGATGAGGCACAGGAGGGCTTTGCCCAGCTTTGCTGTCCACTGGAACACTTTGTACATGTGACATGGAGTTCCACAGAAGTAAAAATAATCATTCTTACACACACACACACACACACACATGCATGCACGCACACATGCATGTGTGCACACCTCCACGCGCGCATGCACACCCCTCACACGTGCACACACATACACACACGCGCGCGCGCACACACATGCACACCAGAAACTGGTGATCTTACAGACGGCTAGCTTGCTTCTGTTACAGAATGACTGCCAAGCTCTACAAGGGAGGTGCCCATGCCATGGATGACGAGGCTCCCTGAGCACCAAGGCAGGAAGCAAGGGTGGCAGCGGCCAGCGGGCTGGAAATTGACTCCCAGAGCGCTCACAACAGAGACACTGTTCTGTCACTGTTCTCTCGTGATGAAGAGAGAAACCAGGGAAATGACATGTGAAGTGAGTAGAGCAGCTACAGTGGTGGGGGTTCCATCCCAGCACCACAATAAATAATACTAACTCACTCCTCCAAACCCCTCCACTCAGACAGATTCACTATGAAGAAAGACTTACGCAGTCTTTCATCTTAAAGAAAACTGAGCTTGCATTTTTTTTTTTTACACACTGGTCTGTACTCTGTTCTATCATTCTGCATTTTTGCTGTTTTGTTCTGTTTTTGTGGTACCAGGGGTTGAAGGTAACACCTCATACATTACAGTCAAGCCCTCTGCCTTTAGTCACACACATGCCAGCCCTGTTTTACTTTTTGGGACATTGGTCAGGCTGCTCCTGAAACCATTCTACAGCCCAGGCAGGTCTTGAACTCACGATCTTCCTGGTCAGCTGGAGCAGCGACTATTACAAGCCTTTAGAGGCCTTCAACACAGAGTCTCTGTATACTCGGAGCTGGTCTCCACTTGAACAAAGCCAGGGTGGACTCACTAGGAAGTGGCTAGCTGACTTATATGTGCCGTAGGCTCTCATCATTACAGCTCTGGGGTAGGGTGGGGTGGGGGAGAGGCTGCTTGCTGTGCTCTCTAGGTGAGGCTTAGAGCACGGATACAGGCGATGGCTACTGCTGGTTGTCAGGCCAGCACTGTGCCACACACAGGCAGATCATGCCTTTGGTTTAAAGTGCGTGCTCTCACAGACAAGAGCAAGGAGAGGGAAGGGTATGGTCACAACACTCTTCTGTAAAACAGCTTCAAAAGCAAAGAGCAGGTCAAGGGAACAGGAGTGCCTCTGACCTTCCTTCTGAAGTTTTTTTTCAGCTTTCTTCATATTGTCCTTGGATGTCTCTAGGAGTTTACTTAGAGATAATGAATACATTAATTTGACTCATATAAATCAAGCCTTGCAAGTCTGTTGAACGGATATGAAGCTTTCTGATAACTTGCAAGCCATTTAGGTTTTAAAGTTTTTAGAACCAATCATATTGACACATAATTCATATACCATGTAGTCTGTTTATTTAAAAAATATATCCCAATGATTTCTAGTATGGTCATGGAATTTTGTGTCAACACATTCAACTTTAAGATACTTTTGTCACCCCAAAGAAACCCTACACCCAGCAGCAGTCACATCTACTGTGCCCCCCGCCACCTACCTCCTATCAACAGACAGTCTACATCAATGACAACGTAGCTCAGCACGGCATTCTCATGACCTATTCGTGCTGTGGCAGCAGTAGTTCCCGCACTTATTGTCAAAACATTACTGAGTTTTGAGAAGGATTAAAGGATGCCATTCCTGCTTCCATACATCTGGCAGTCACCCTCACACAGTCACTGCTGACTTCATTATTATCTATCTCCTTTCTTAAATTGTCACCAAACCACACAGCTGTTTCCAAAATACCCAAGGTCACATTACAGCCCCACAGCTAGGAGATGAGGTTCAGTGGCAGAATGTATGCTAATAAACTTGTCCTTGAATCTCCCACACAGACAGCTTCCTCAGCCACAAAATGAGGGTCCTCCACCTGCCTAACTTTAGGAGCGTGAGAGGCATCTTCTGCCGGGGAAAGCACTGCCAACACAGATGATGCAATGCTGGCACTGCCCTTGACTAGGCAGGTATTCAGATACATCTTGGAGACTTCACACAACTGGGGAAATAATGTAGGAGATGATGTATCCATTCCAAAATTATATCAAAAGCAACCTAAAATTTTCTAGCGCTGAAGTCTACTCAGGTTGTAGAGTAACAGCTAAGCATGCATGAGGTCCTGGGCTCAATTTCCAGTACAGAGAAAAATGGTTATTTTCTTACTCTGCATTAAAGGCACTAAATATAAGCTTTACTTTTTATTCTTCTAAAAATGTTTTGGGATGCTCTGAGAACTTTCACAACACCAAGCAGAGCCCTACTAAGCTGTACACTCTACTTTCACGTTAGGAATTTCTTTTTTATTGAAAAATTTATAAAATATATTCTGAATTTGTTTTTCCCCTCCCAATTCTTCCCAGATCTTATCCACCCAACTTTATTTTTTTGTTTCTTTCTTTTTTTTTTTTTTTTTTTTTTTTTTTTTTTTTTTTTGGTTTTTCGAGACAGGGTTTCTCTGTGGTTTTGGAGCCTGTCCTGGAACTAGCTCTTGTAGACCAGGCTGGTCTCAAACTCACAGAGATCCACCTGCCTCTGCCTCCCGAGTGAGTGCTGGGATTAAAGAAAGGCATGCGCCACCACCGCCCGGCTTTGATGACTCTCTTAAGGGAAGCACGTTTTAAGTAGGAAGAAGCAGCGTTCTCACTTCCTTGCTCTGCCTGTGTTAATAACTGAACGGAGCCAAGCAACACCAAATGAGGAGAGCATGAAGTCGAGCACTCCCTGTTTAAATCATGCCTTGAAACAGTAAACCAGCAGAACTATAAACAGTCCGTGTGTTTTGAGACAGTCTCACCAGCTGCCTAGGGTGGCACCAAACACCTGGACTCAGGCGACTGTCCTGCCTCAGCCTTTGGAGGAGCTAAGATGGTCAGGTATGCACCGCCACGCCCAAATACACACGTCTTCACATACTGTTACAACATGGGATGTTAGTAAATCATTGCCAGTCCTCAAGCTCACTTAGTCCAGGAATGTCCTTGGAGCTGCTGCCAGCCAGCAGAGCAGGTGTTCTGGGGAAAGCTGTCCTCAAGGAAGTGAGTGATTCATGGCTGGTTCTTCAGCAGCTGACCTACGGTCTGGCATTCCTTCCAGAACGACTGGTAGGAAAGCTCCTCCTGTCCAGAGGCACTGTGCACCAACTTTCAGCTGGACTGTCAGGCTGGCTTCTGTACCTGACATTTTCATATACATGTCCATCTGTAGTAACTGGGGCCTGAGTCTTGTCACTGGCCATATCTGAGTTCCAGTGGCTTTAGGGGTCAGTCCATGCCATGGGCAAACCCCTCTAAAGGTTTGGTGGGAAGTGGTAACATAGCCCACTGTTATTGGGGAAACTGGAAAGGAAAGGAACAGGGAGAGGTGAGCTAACAGTGGCTCAAGTTCTTTTCTGGGACAGCAAGAACACAAAGATACAGGCCTCAGAGCCCAGTAACTTTGTTTTTAATTTAAGCACTTCATTTTCAAATAAGAGAGCAGGTGGATATGCCCATGCCTTCTGCTGGCCCTGGTGCACAACCCAGATTGCTTCTCCTGACTCTCGCCCCAGGATTTCCCATGTTGCGGCTGCACTGTCCAGGGCCATGGACTTCCTGAAGTGGAGTTGCACAGAATCCCTGAACTCAGCCAGGTAATGGGATTGGCAATGCTGGCCTGGGAAGGCATTTCCGGGAGCCTGCCCCAGATTCTGTAGCTCTACAGAGGACCCTTTGAGGGGAGGGCAACTGTTCATAAAGAAGTGACAAGGTCTGGGCCTTTTGCTTTTCTAAATAGCAAAACATTATTTTTGGGAAGTAAACAAGTCATATTTGAGTGGAAGAAAAAGCTGAGGTGCAGGGTAAGCCCAATTCACACACACAAGTAAACAGTGGTCAACTATTTTTAAATGTTCCTACTCTGTCCACTGATTAGGGAAATGAAATTCGGATTGTCCAAGGACAGGAGCAGGCCATTTCTGGTTGGCCACACTAAATCTTTCTATATGCATGCATTCTGAACAAAATGAGGCACAGAGTAGCCTGGCACACAGCTTTCTGTGCTGTCATTTCTCAGGAGAGTCTGAGGCACGTCTGCTGCTCTCTGCCACTGTGTTTCCTGGAACCACACACCCACTCTTTGTTTCATTGTTTGTTTACTGTTCAGGAGACAGTTCTAACACAGATGACGCCCGCGGCACCTCAGACACACACAAGCTGTACATCGCCAGCTTGGACTGCTTTCAACCACAGTGCAACTGCTGGACACCTCCCCTGTCCCCACTCCTTTCCTCTGTGCCTGAAAATGTTATAAATCTAGGCAGAGTCAAGTTTTCAAATTAAAAAAAAAATCAGCTTGTCAATTGTGGGAATAAATGAAAATTTTAGGTTAACATTTTAATTATTCTAGTGGCTTCTTGGAAAATACCTGGAAGCAGAAATACTAAGTTTCTAACTTGTCAAAGCAACCATAGCCTTATAAACTGCTATGCTCTCCACTAAAAGACAAAGAACTCTGTCTCTGAATATACACTTTTAAGACCAAAAATTCTTGAAGCTCACTCAGCTTTTTATGTCTACTCTACACATCATCTTCGAGAAAACAACCTGAAACTGGCAAAAGCTGGCCAGATGCAGAATGTGAACTGCAACACACCTTACAGTAGTAAGAACTGGAATTAGTTAGCCATCACTCAGAGCCGTCCATCCTAGAATAAAATGCCCAGTGACTAAGAAGGATGTCCACTGTTCCAACATTACACACGGCACACATGTTCACGGATGGCACAGCATGATGTGACGAACTAGGATATATTAGTGGGATAATGTCAATACAGCCAAAGGAAATATGCCCACAGTAGTTAGGAGTACGGGATTACAAACTAACTTTTACCTTCTATCAGTATATATTTAAGTCTATTATCTAAAATTTCCAGGAGATAGTTTTATTACCCAATGTTAGAAAAAAGACCCCCATTTCTAAAGCAGTAACAAACGAGCCCTGGGAGCTGGGTGCAGCCTCAGGACATCTCCTTGGGGTCAGAGAGGAGACTGGCAAAAGCAGAAGGCAGCACTTAGGTCTTCCATTCTAGCTAATATCGGATCACACTTGTAACCTGTGGGGGAAAAGAAGTCTTTCTTTTTAATTATGTGTAGGTATGTGTGTCTGCATATGGGCATGTGCATATGACTGCAGGGGCCTTCAGAGACCAGAGGCATGAAATCCCCTGGAGCAGGAATTATAGATGGCAGTAAGCAACCACATATGGGTACTGGAATCTGAACTTGGGTCCTCTGGAAGAGCAGCCAGTGCTCTTGACCTATGAACCATCTCTCAGGCCCTATGAGGGAAGCACTGAGCTGCTAAGTGCTAAGCTGCTAAGCTTGGCCTTGCTGAGTTTCCCAAGCTCTTGGCTTCTAGTGGATACTAAAGAGGCCTTTACCAGGCAGGTCAAACATCATTTACTTTTCAGTGGATTTTAATTTGAAAACAACTGCTTATCTTACTGAACGATACTGGGCAGCAGACCCTCTGAAGTTAGGTCAGCTTGTTGCAGATGTCAAACTTCTCTAAAGTTACATGTAAAGACCAGAGGCAAATTTGCCCAGTTATAGCTAGAACTGAAGCAATGGTTTTCTGCAATTAGATTAGTGCAAGAATATAATCTAAGTTTGCAAAACAAAAGAATTATCTAATTTTCTCCAAGTAAAGTAAAGGAAAAAGCAGATACTTTGCCATTTCACAGCTGAAGAAAAACACAGTCAGGTATCAGCTCTCTTTACCTTAAAGACATGGAAGGCTTCAAACTGGATGTTAGGACTTTTGTCTCGAAGTAGGTTCATCATCAGTTTCAGGTTCTCTGGCTTGCTGATGTACTTGGTCATAATGGCAAAATTGTGGCGGTCCAGGATTAGCTCGCCTAGCAGCTGCAAGACACAAAGCCAAAGCCATTATTTGACTCTTCAAATATAGCTCACCAGGACGGAATCAAAACCCAAGGCTGGTGTGAAGAGTTGTGAGGCACCGTAAATGACAGGTGTGTGCCAGGCACAGCAGCACCTGCTGCAGCCCCAGCTACTTGGGAGGTGGAGGCAGGAAGAGCACTTGAGTCCACGAGCTGCAGACCAGTGAGCACAGTGGGACCCTATCTCAAACAAACACAAACCAACTAACCAAGAGGTAAAGAAACAACAATCAACCAGTCAGGCCTGTGAATGGTATTGTTGCTATTTCATTAAGCTTTCGTGTGGCTTGGCTATGAAATTATTACTTATTGTTAGTTCTCTTTTATTTTTTTTTTTTTTTTTTTTTTTTTTTTTTTTTTTTTTTTTTTTTTTTTTTTTTTTTTTTTTTTTTTTTTTTT